GCGCTCCGAGAGCGCTGATTGGCCACCGATCCGCAGCTCGGATCCCAGTGGCTGTGGTGGGACGTCTGTAGGTGGCAGCAGGGTAGGGAGGCCAGCTCCGAGGGGCCACGTGGGGCCGGGGCCGGGCTGCCGGGGTCGGGCCACCGGGCGGGGCGGGCCGGCGGAAGGGGTCGGGGGAGCTCATCCGGCCCCGCGCTGGCCGGTGCGGTGCAGCCCCCAGGCCCCTACCGCCTTCCCGAGGTTCGGGAGGCACCGAGGGTCGTGTCCTGACGCAGAAGGAGCGAGAGGGTGCCGGACTTGGGAGGGGAAACTTGAGCTGACATTTCTGTTCCGCGCGGTTTCCCCTGCTGGGACAGCCAGCTTGAGCCCTCGGGCTGGAGAAGTGAGAGCCGGCGGCTACATTGTCAGGCAGAGTTACGTTGTTTCGCAGGAGCGGTAGAGTAGAATGTATCTCTCGCCAGCGTCCCCCAATTTGGCTCCCTTTTGGACTTAAACTGAGTGTGCAGTTTGTCGGGATGCTCTGAGGGTTTTGATTTATTTGAAAAGATCGTCACGGCCTTGCGACTTGAGCTCAATTTGTGAATTTTCCCTTAGATTCTCTGAGCCATGAGCGTATGGCTGCTGAATAAGAGAATTCTTTTCTAAACGAGTTTCTAAATTTACCAGCAGTGTCCCGGAAGAGGCCAACACATGCATATTCAGCACCAAAAAGACTGGCACGCAGTGTTTTTTTTTTTTTTTTTTTTGACAAACCGGGCCTTGCTCCTTGAAGGGTGGGTGGGAATGTGCTTTCTGTTTTTATGAAAATGTCAAGGAACTTTTCAGAATCACATTAAGCATGCTAATTACCAAATATTAAATGCTAATTGCTCTACAAGCTAGTTCTTTGCATGCCAAAGAAGGGAGATGAAACTGGTGTGAGTTACTGGTGACATAATGACAGAGATTTTTTTGACCGATGTTTTGCAGCCTCCACTTGGATATGGGAAGCATGTTCCCTATTAACCCAAATGAATAGCACAAGTGTTTATCTGTTAGTGCAAGCCTCAAGCCTTACAGCAACAGTGTGGTTTGGTTGACTTTAGACTCTTTTTAAAGGGAGGTGAGACAAGGCAGTTAAAGATTGCCAGGAGATGGATCCCTTGGAAGGGTTACAAGACCTGAGGTCATGCAGAAAGAGATCGCACAGCAGTTAAGACAGTCAACCAATATGTCCAGTTACTACAGGCTTCACTGGCTCCAGCCCTGTACTTGGATCATCGTGTTCACATCACAGACTGTACTTCCTCCATCAAGACATTTATACCTCCGAGTAGTGACTGCCTGTTCACTTCTGCGTACCCTGACCCAGACTCTAAATTCCATGTGACAAGTGATGGTATGTGTAGCTGGCAGCACTGGATAAGAGGCTGAGTGAATATAGGAGGCCAGGACACTGGTCCAGGCACCTTATGGGACCAGCTGTCTTGGCTTTCTTCTGGGTGCTGCACAGCTGAGCCCAGATAGGAACTGCATGGGGGGACAGTGGAGGATCAAGTCCATCCCATCCCTCTTGCAAGTTGAACAGAGAAAGATGTTCCAGCATGTGTATCCTCAAATGAGGACCATAAATGATCCCTTTTGCCCTCCTGTAGAGGAGGTAAAACGGTCACCTCTGCCTCAAGCACAAACAGCAAATGAGGCTCCTAGGCTTGTGTGTATAGCTATAGTGCAAACCTTCTGAGTTCAGTGAAAACAGTGGCCCTGAATAAATTACAGGCAAAAAAAGTCTCCTTATGTACAAGGCCATGAGCCCAGAAATGCCACCTGATTTCAGATCACACGAAGGAAAACTGTAGTTTTGCCAGAAATAGCCATCATTACACTGCCCAGTTAAACTCAGAACTGATATGGAAAATCAGGCTGGAGAAAACCAGGGTAAAGCATAAATGCTTCACCAAATTCAGACCGATGCGCATTTAGAATTCAGTTGTACCATATGATCCAGCAATCCCTCTACTGGGTATTTTACCCCAAAGACTTGAAAACATATATCTGAAAAAGTATTTGCACTCTGATGTTCATTGCAGCATTATTTACAGTGGCCGGGACATGGAAGCAACCAAAGTGTCCTACAATAGATGATTGGGTAAAGATGTGGTACATATATACAATGAAATATCACTCAGCTATAAGAAGAGATGAAATACTGCCATTTGTGACAATATGGTTGGATCTTGAGATAATCATGCTAAGCAAAATAAGCCAGACAGAAAAAGTTGAAAGCCACATGATACCACTCATATGTGGATATAAACCTAAAAGTAACAAACAGGATAGAGACTCATAGACATGGACAATAGACTAGTGGTTACCAGAAAGAAGGGGGGAAGTAGATGGGGTAAAAGGGGTCAAATATGTGGTGACAGAAATCTGTGGGTGTGAACGTCAGCGCAAAATATATATGACTTACTGTTGAATAGTATGATTGAAACTTACTGGATTTCATTAACCAATGTCACCATAAAAAAAAAAAATCGGTTGTAAAGCATTATTATCTAGTGGATCAACTTCTCTGACTTCCTAAAGGTAGTTTTTTAAATGGGGGAGCAGGGAGAGGTGGGCAAATGGCTACTGTCCAAGGCAATGGTTTAAACAGGGCTGCCATAGGGTATGTGTGTCTGTCCCTGGAGAGACTTCTTGGCAGTTAGCACTTGAGAGTCATTTTTAAAGCATTGTGTTCAGCTAGGCAGACAGCTGTGGTTATGAGGGGGATGATTTGGGGCAGTTCGTGGTGTTGCTTGGTTGAAAATGCTCATGGCAAGCTGCCCAAGGCACCACAAACAGCAGTGTGCCTCCCTGAGCAAAGAGCCTTTCTGCTCATAAATTCTCCTCACCTCCAACCTCGCAGGCCCCGCCAGATCCCTCTCACCAGAGTGCAGGCCCAGTCACGGCTTCTGTGGTTTAGAATCACTGAGCAGCTCCCCACTGACCCCCAGCCCCCACCATGTGCAGCTCCAGTGACATGGAACTCTAGCTCTTCCCCAGACACTCCAAGGCCCTTGTCTCCATCCAATGGCTCAGTAGTCCTGGACTTCAGGGTCCCATGGACCAGGAAAATTTCAAAAACACATCTGGTGACAGACGCCAGGTTTCCAACTTTTTGTTTTGCAAGAGAGAACACTTTAAGAAGACCTCAACACCTACTGTCTATGGTCCCCATCTTTTTAAAAAACACAAACACTGCCACAAAGACAAAACTAGTGAGGATAACCTCCAAATAAAGGACAAGGCATCATTTTACCTCCATGAGAAACTTAGTACATTGTCCTGCTCGTTCTCATTTCACCTCTGGACAGCAGGAAGCCCAGTGAGGCCCACTAAGCAGGGTGTGGGGTGACAGAAGTGCTTGTTCAGACCAGGTCCCTGGGCCCAATCAGGCAGGTTTGGGGTGGAGCCTGGGCTTCCGCCTTTCTAAGCAGCTCCCCGCTGGTCTCTATCAAGGGCCCACATTTTGAGTAGCACTGAATTTGAGGGGCTCTGGAAATCTTTCCTTATTCAAGGTCCAACCCAATGCAACTTTTCGTGAAGCCTCCTTGGGCCATCGCACTAGAAAATCATTTCTCACTGTGAAAAATTCCCATCTGTCCATCTTTGATAGCAGAGACTCCGCCATTTTTTGTGCCTCAATGTCTGTTCTTTCCAAACTCTATAATGGAACTCTGGATTTCTACCTGGGCATGCGGGCACTATCACTTTCCCAGGGTCCTTTGCTGTGGGCGCATGACTAAGTTCTGGCCGATGGGAAGTGGAAATGGGCAGTATCCTTTTAAGGGGAGACTGGGTGCTGTCTCCTCCCTTCCTTCCCGCTGGCTGGAATGAGAATGCAACGGATGGAGCTTGGGCAGGTACTTGGGCAGGCCCATGGGTGGAAGCCCTATGTTCGAGTTGAGGATGGTAGAGAAAGAAATAGAAGCCAGAGTCAGGACTGAACGTTCTCGCACTAGCTCTGGACTGACTATATTTACAGAAGAGAGAGAAAACATCTATTTTGTTAAGCCACCGATAGTCTGGCTTTTCTGTCAGCTTCAACCGTTCTAGTCCTGGTTAGTATGAACCCCAGCTCATTCTGGGGTCAGGCTGTTTGCGGTGCTGCTCCCCAGCTGTGCTCCCATGGGAGTGATGTCTGATTTGGCCTGGCAGCCCACAGAGTATGGCACTGTCAGCCCTCTCGTAATCTGTGAGAAAAATTTCCAAGAAAATAGGTTCCTTGTTTAAGTATTTGTGAAAACACAGAATAATGGCATTATTCTGTTTTCTTGATTTAATAGCCCATCTCAGGGTGAAAATCAAATGGAATTCTAAAGAAATAACCAGAGAATGGGTTGCAAATTTACATGAGAAATTCAAAGCTGCATTAAGAAATGTACAAAATTGGGAACCTAAATGTTTAATGATGGGGGTTAATTAAAATCAATTTTAGAATAAGGAAGTCTTTAAAGGTGAGAAACAAGAGAAACAGAAATTCAAGTTTGTAAATTAAATATAGATATACACACACACATATATACAGTGAAATATGTAATTTAATTATATTATTTTATACACATATATACAATTCTATTACACAGAAATGTTGAAAATTATCTCCATGAGCTAATATTACAGATGATTTTTCTTTGCGTTTTTCTGTTTTCCTCATTTTCTACAATGAACATGTTTTGACTTTCATAATTGTGAGAAATGAAGTTAAAAACAAGAGGGAGAAGGAGAGGAGGAGGCGCAGGGGGAGGGGAGGGGAGGGAGGAACAGGGAGACCAGGCCCTCTAGGTGGCAGGAAGGAGCCCTAGCAGCCCCTCCTGAC